TGCAGTAATTATTTTTATTTTAACTTTTTTTCAAACAGAATTATTTTTAATTCAAATATTTTAAAGTTAAAGACAGGCGCAAAGAGATCCCGTTTTGCTGTTTTGTCTAGTTGTTTTCAGAGTAATCACTTATATTTCAGCTTTCTGTAAACGAATAATATTTTAAATATCTAAAAAAATATTTTTTGGCATATTAAAAATATTTTCAAGCAAATATGATTTTAAAATATTTTTGGTATATTAAAAAAAAATATTCTTAACTTAATCTAGTTTAACCCTTAACTTCTATGCCTATTAAATGCTGTAAACAATCAGTAAAACGTTAAACCTGAACTTGTAAACTATACCAAGGGTGACAAAAACGAATTGAATTATTTAACTGAATCATAATAAAATTAACTTCCATTTCCATGGAATGTTGAAATCAACTTCAATATTTTAAAACCTCAACCGTCAGTGACCCAGTTTAGTTTATTATAAAATTCAAGATAGATAATCAGATCCGGTCATCAAATGAAAAAAAAAATGACGTCTGGTCAACAAATGTTTTTTTTTTTCTATTTTGCTGATGCAAAACTCTTTCTTAAATCATACATCATTCGCATCTCTCAACGTGATACAAAAGACAGCTTCATATTCTGGAGGATGGAGGCTTTTGGTCTGGGACTGTTTTGTATTCCGTCTTACCTTACTCCACTCTTTTTCGGAACAAGCGACGTGTACCTAGTTCATTAGACACCCCAAATTATGGACGTTTTTGTATTTAATTCAGTTAAGCTAGAAGTCGTCTGCCATTCACAATTGCAGTTTTTAAAAAGCAATAAATAAATAAATAAAATCTATCACTTAGGTTCGTCATCTGTTTGTGTTTTATTATCTTGCGTGATTTTCGTTCTTGACACCTGTGTGGCCCATTTCAACAAATGGTGACCGAAAAGTTCTCGTTACGCATAACACTCCCTGTCCATAACCCTCTCTCCAACCCATAATGCTTCTCCTTTGTAAGCCTGAATCTTTTTCTCTTTTAAACAGATAACTTGCCCATTGAATAGCCCCCACCCTTGTCACCATCTACTGTAGTGATTCAAATGGGGTTAGGAGACGCCCATGCATACCCGAGCAACCCTTATTACCCCCACTCCTCCCAATGGGTCTTTATTCCTCACGTACATGAGCGTGCCTTTAGGTACGATGTTTCTGACCCAAGGAAGATTTATGTTGCCTTGACTTCTGAGCAGACGCGACATGTCCACTCAGAGCATCACGCATGTATTTCCTTGGTTGACTGTTCCTTCATTAAGAGTGCTGGAGGAAATAAGTTTTATGTGTATATCCGCTGGTAGTCAGGCATCCGAACCTTCGAGTAAATTTGAAGGAGGCTCTCCTACTGTCATATAGGCAGAAAATGAGTAACTACTGACACCCAGGTTCCAGCATGACACTTATGAATATATGTTTTCCGCTAGGTGTATAAATAGCGATGTCAGGCTACTGACTGGAGTGATTATTGAGTGGAACTATCCAGTCGAATTAGTGTGAATTATTGTGCGTTGATGATTTGGGTTTTCATTTAGGATTTACTGGACGTTAATCCGAGCCGTGCTACTAACAAGGTATTCACTGATTAATTATCTTTGGTTGACTTTTACTTCTTTGTTCTTGTTAAGTATTTATTTGCGCTTGTAATTAAACACTGTTTTATCTTAACATTGAAGTCTTGAGTTATACTTAATTATTAACGGCCACCGTACATCATAAAATATCTATAATAGATTTTATACATAATTAAAAGAGAATTTAATCTGAAGACAATAGTATCTTGTCATATAGGAAAAAAAGAGTAAAAACCGACACTGAGGTTTGAGTATGACACTCTGGACTTATGAATATATGTTTTCCGCCGGGTGTATAAATAGTGGTGTCAGGCTACTGACTGCAGTGATTATTGAGTGGAACGATTCAGTCGAATTAGTGTGAATTATTGTGTGTCGTATTTGTTGATGCTATTAATAAAAAGAAATCAAATCACTTGAGGATCCTCAAGTAATTTGATTTCTTTTTATTTACTACAGTGCTTTGTTTGCGATTCTGTAGTACCAGCCCACGAGGTTCGAAGAAGAGTGGTTTAGATCCATAGACGTTATCACTTGAAGGTATTTTTGATAGAAGTTGATGTAAGGAAGTAGTTGTATAGAACTGACAGTTTAGATATTTCTGAACGGTTTTGGTGTCATTTGACTTAATTAATCGGAATTGCAGAATATAAGAATAGGTGACTTCTCTCATTACTAGTTGTAGTTTTACTCCAGTGAAAACTGATAACCAAAACTGATCCTATAATAAAAAGTGACTAACAAGTAAAAATAAATAACAAATGCGAAAAAATGAATAGTATTTTTTTTTTACTCAGAAAATATGAGACTGACGTGAGAGTTCTTTATTTTTATGTACCGTGACTCTTCAGGATGTTGGCGAACATGGCTCTCCACAATTTCTAGTCCTTTGTAGCTCTTAATAATTTTTTTCTTTTATTATCTCTCCTAATCATCTAAGGTTGCCAGCATCCATCTTTATTACAATTCCGTCTGATCTCGTTGCTTTGTTTCTGTTCCGTCTGGCCAGTCCCTCCTCTCCCGCCACTTCAGATTTTAATATTTCTGGTCTGTTGATATATCTTTATATAGTCGGTTGTTCTCGCAGTCGAAGACTTCTCCGATATGTTGCGTGATATTAGTCCTCCTCTCTGGTAGCGAACCAGATTTCTATTGCTTCTTCATTTTTAGGGGATTGTCCAACATACACTGGCATACAAGAGGACTGATATTTTATAACAATTCAGTACTCTTTTCTTTCTTTTTTTTTTAACGAAATTTTCTGTGTCTTAATACTTTGCTTAGCTTTTGGAAGGCACCTTTAGCTATCCCAATACGTCTTCGGATTTCAGCCCTAAGTCAAAACTCTTCCCAGATATTTAAATTGTTGTACTTGCTTGATTTTGTTATCGCCAAATTGTAATTTTGTTGTATCGTCAAGGTGAATGATACACAGAGAAGAATGAGTGCTTAATATATTTATTCAGCACCAGGATCCGGTGCTAATGGAGGCATAAAAAGCACAAAACAATTAACAAGACAACTTACAAGGAATAGAAGAGGGTCAATTGTTGTATAGCCAAATGAACTAAGATCAGTCAGAACATTAATCTACTTCGTATCAACTTATTAATCAACTGAAGTCCTTAATCGTAGACTATTTAAGGCTATGAACCAGGCGATCTAGTAGAGTGCTGAGGGGGTGCTAGCTAGATATTAATAAACTGTTGAACTTAATTGTAGACTATTTAAGGCTATGAGCCATGCTATCTTGTAGAGTGCTGAAGGGATGCTAGCAAGGTATTAATGAACTTTTAAAGTCCTTAATCGTAGACTATTTAAGGCTATGAACCAGGCGATCTAGTAGAGTGCTGAAGGGGTGCTAGCTAGATATTAATAAACTGTTGAACTTAATTGTAGACTATTTAAGGCTATGAGCCATGCTATCTTGTAGAGTGCTGAAGAGATGCTAGCAAGGTATTAATCAACTGTTAAAGTCCTTAATCGTAGACTATTTAAGGCTATGAGAGGTGCCATCTTCTATAGTGCTGAAGGGATGCTAGCAAGGTATTAATGAACTTTTAAAGTCCTTAATCGTAGACTATTTAAGGCTATGAGCCGTGCCATCTTCTATAGTGCTGAAGGGATGCTAGCTACTCTACAACAAATTTGCATGTTGGGCTGTCCCTTTTTCCTAACAAACATACATTCTGTCTTCTTACAATTGATGTTTCTTTCTTTCTTCTTCTTTTCTTTTACTGCTTTCTGTTGGAGTAAGCGGGCGATTTGCAGCCAGTATAGGTTCTACGAAAAATTCGACAAACGAAGTTCCAAACCTAGTCGACTCTTTTGAATTCACTCTCGCTAATATCCAATTCCGCGTAAAGTAGACGGGCAAACTGGATTCTTTAGCATTGATGGGGCAATCAATCTAGGAGAATGGTAACTCTGAATTCATAATCACGAAGAGGGTAACCGGAAACCACTCCACAATTCTTTTCAAGAACAGAGATGACAATATACAGTTCCGTAATGTCAAAGTAAAAGAAGTTGTAGAAAGATCATCGCTTACATTCGGAAGGTATAGAATGTTTTAAATTAAAGAACAAATATTGGTTAATCACAAGGATTTTTTGACGGGATTATTCTTATTATTTTTACTTTAAAAAGCCAATGACGTATCATCATACAATACGCTGCTAAAAATTCAGGGATGTTTCTCGGACTTACTTTCACTATGTTTGCTTTAAAAGCTAATGACGCATTATCATAGAATTAGCTGCTCAAAAGTTATAAGTAACGTTCATTATTTTCGCTTTAAAAACTGATGGATTATCATTTAGCCGCTAAAAAGTTTAGGAATGTTTGCCGGTGTTACATTTAATAATTTTGCTATAAAAGATAATGCAGCATTAGCTGCTAAAAATTCAGGAATATTTCTTAGAGTAACGTTTATTATTTTTGCTTCAAAAACTGAAGCATCGTCATATAATTAGTTCCCAAAGAATTTAGGAATGTTCCTCGGAGAAACGTCCATTATTTTTGCTATAATACTGATGCATCATCAAAGAATTAGCTCCCAAAGAATTTAAGAATGTTTCTCGGAGTTACTTTAAATATTTTGGCTTTGAAAGCTAATGATGCACTATCTTACAATTAGCTGCTAAATAATTCAGGAATGTTTCTCGGAGTAACGTTCATTATTTTTGTTTTGAAGGCTTATAAAGCATCATGGAATTCAGAGAATATTTCTCAGACTTTCTTTATTTTCGCTTTAAAAGCCAATGATGCATTATCATAGAATTAACTGCTAAATAATTCAGGAATGTGTTCTCTGGTGTTTAACAGAAATTTTCGCTTGATTTGCAGCCAGACATTCCTCGTTTTCGAACGGTTCTGCCAACTCACCCTGCAGATAGCGTCTGGGGAATCTTGGAGCGGGTAGGGTTAGTCGATTGACCCCTCTTAAAGAGATCAGGGTCATCAAGCTGACACTTTCCTAAGCCGTGAGGCGAAGGAGTAGAGGGTACAGGAAAATCTGGAATGGTGGCTCTGGAATGTGTGGAGAGGTCCGTAAAGTGAGGAACCTTTTACCGGAAAATTTAATTTAACGTCAAGGATAAGAGGGAAGAATTTCTTGTGAGTGTTCGATGCCTGGAACATTTTTCTATCGCTCTGGATAGGCAAAAGACGACAAGTAGGTATTTACTGGGTTAAGCCATTTTTGATTCAAGGTAAAAATTCAGGTACAGTTAATAAATAAAAATTCAGAACAATCAGTAAATAAATGAAATAAAATAAATACATACATAAATAAAATAAAATCAAGAAATAAAATAAATAAATAAAATAAATAAATACATAAAATAAAATAAACAAAATAAAATAAATAAAGTAAAATAAAATACATAAATAAATAAAATAAAATCAATAAATAAAATAAGATAAAATAAAATAAATAAAATAAAATAAATAAATACATAAAATAAAATAAACAAAATAAAATAAATAGAGAAAATAAAATAAATTAATACATAAAATAAGATACATAAATAAATAAAATAAAATCAATAAATAAAATAAAATAAAATAAATAAAATAAAATAAATAAATACATAAAATAAAATAAATATAAGGTCGAGACACCAATTTCTATTTACCGACTTGTACGTTTCCGTATGTTTTATTTCTTTTTTTGATTTTATTTTTTTTAAATTCAGATGCAACATTCGCTTCTTCTTCTGCTCCATGTTTCTTAAATGCAGGTTCTTCCAAAAATTCAAAACTTCTGTCCAAGAAATTTCTCTTTCTATATGGCGTCCCCACTCAGGACGCGAGCGATCATGGCTTTCCACAACTTCCTGCCCTTTGTAGTAGCACTTAGTAACGTTTTTATGGCCAAAAAAAAAAGTTACTAATGGTTATAAGGAATAGGAAGTTGTGGAGAGCCATGATCGTCCCCGTCTTGAAGAAAAACTAGTAATAGATACAACATCTTAAAATGGCTGGACTTCTAAGATGTACCCTTGTCATCGTTATCAACTGTGGGGTGGGGGTTGCCCTGGCACAACTTTTAACTGCTCATTTCATGGTTAAGACATCGCATTATAACTCCAAATATGTTGGATAAGTTACTGTCATTATTTACATGATTCAGACTGTTATCCTCATCTTCATTGCCATATTCACAACGTTTCGGCCGTTCTACGCTCCGGCCTTTATGTCTATGTCTCTCTATCTATCTGTCTATATCTCTGACATGAGGTATTATGATTATTTGCATTATTTACATTATTCGAACTGTTATCCTCATCTTCATTGCCATATTCACAACGTTTCGGCCGTTGTACGCTCCGGCCTTTATGTCTATGTCTCTCTATATATCTGCCTATATGTCTGAGACGAGGTATTATGATTACTTGCATTATTTACATTATTCGGACTGTTATCCTCATCTTCATTGCCATATTCACAAAATCATTATTTCGTGCACCAGGGTAAATTGTTCTAGTTCCACTTGCCATGCCTCTTTAGTCGACAGACATTACAAAGTCCATTCCGATATGAAATCTTGATAAATTTGCAGATTAAGCCCTACAAGCTAATTGTAAATAAAATTTCCAGAAAATTTCCATTTTGGTTTAAATTTGCATGCTTATTTAAAAAAGATAACAGTAAAAGTTTGCGGAAATCTACCGTTTAGAAGTTATCGACAATATAATTTCGGACTTATTCGCGTCGCGTCTATAGGCCGGCAGCTATTATTGGCGTTTCTTATAAACGTTTGCCTCGAGTAGACATGCGCAGTAGCTCACTTGTATTGATTATTACGCAAGAAATGTGCGAAGTTTTATTTAAAATGAATACGGGAAATTTAAAAAGTAACCCAAGTTTTGGGTTATAAAATTTGGGCTTTTAAGAAGCATGAATATTTACAAAAAAAGTAAAAAAAAGCAAGTGCTAGAGAGGAATTAATAATAAAATAAACAATTTTAAGCAATATTATTTAAGCATGATTATCTACAAAATATTTACAAAGTGACAATTGCGGAAAGGCTACCTTTTAAAATTTGTTTTATTATTTAAACAAGAATTCATTATTATTTCAGCTTCACTATAAAAAAAAACAACACTTGTCATTGCTTTTCTAAAGAACTTAAACCAATTACAAAAAAAAATAAAAATGAGAAAAAGAGTGTTATAAAGGATTCCCGTTCGAAAGTGTCTAAGGACTTCTTTTGATTTTGCGCAGTAATTGAGACGTGTAAGAAGATCAGTAAAAAGGTCATTAACTAAGTAAGCTTCCGTACATGATTGCGAGGCTTAATCCGCAAATTTACCGAATTCTTTGCATTAGAAATGAAACTATTGGATTAAACCAGGGGTTTTCAAACTGTGGTAGTCCGCA